TTACCGAGAAAATACATAAGTCGCCTCCATGCATCAACTTTGAGAAGTAGGTTATTTTTTTCTAATTGTGTAAGTGTTGTTTTACACATATACAATACACCTAAAAGTGCGGCTATTTCGTTGCATCAACCATCTTATACGAACTCGGAGACGTGACCGTGAAAGGTGGGATTTCTTATTTGTGTCTTATTTTTCTTTTTGTGTTACATAATCACTGCTTCATATGACACTGTGGTTTATGATGGGAATGTAGAGTAATACGTCGATTCAGGGACCAAACTTCTACCATCAGCGTAGTGTTTCGAAGAACAAGAAGGTGCAGAGGTTGGAGGGTCGTGGAGTAAGGCAGTTGATGATAAAGGCTCTATAGTGTGAAGTTTGTGAATTACTGTTACCACATTAAATTTTAACATGTATCCAGTGAAATATTAACTAACGATAAGAATAATCTTGGAATCCTTTGGTTTTACAAGAAGAAGTATTGTATCCCACACATTTCAATCACTGGCTAAAATCTTTGTCCGATGCATCACCTATCAAGGCAGGTGACCAACTATGCCTATGTAATTCCAAATTACTTGCTATAGAATGAAAGGTTGAATTGGAGCATACAAATACACAACAAAGTATTGATTTCTTTAAAAATTCAGGGCATGGCAATACTGATAGCACGTGGGTAATACCAATATAAAAATGGCTGTTAAAAAAGTTAGGGAACACACTAAACATTGATAAGATACCGTAGTACAGACAGTGATACCGATTCCCAAATATATATTCATGCTTCAGAAAATGCGTGAGTACCAGGCACAAGACGTGAATTGGCATCTCTCAACTAAGGGTGATGAATGTACACACAATTACGATGAAGTAGCCGAAGACCCCAGTGACCAGCATCATTCTGTATTCAGTTTCCCACATTGACATTGAGCCAGCAATAAATGTGTATCTCAGAATCATATATACTCAATAACCTGAAAATCCAGTCTCAGAAGGAGATAAAACCCGGAAACAAACTTCTAATTACCAACCATTATCCATTACACCGACTGACTGTGAGTTCTTAGAAAGGGTTAGATTGGATTAGATTACTGATCACGTCACATCACGCTATTGACGCAAGGAAGAACATGTATTATTATGACTTTCATATTAACTTTGACAAAAAATTACCTTTTTGTACCTCTTATCAGGTGACTATTGCCTGGAAAAAATAGTATTATTATTATTAGTAGTATGCACTAAGTGGATACATACACAATATGTTGCATCCCGCTAGTGGAATTTCGAATAACCTCCGTACATGACATTTCTGCTAACATCAATTAGATGATTGTTTTATTGAAATGTCGTCCAGGTCAGGGTAGAGTAACAAAACTATCAAAATATCGTCACATGCATGGTAGCCGTGACAACCATATGGCATGAGCCTAGTCCATTTGTGGTTACTATGACGCACATCTTTGATTTCATGTTTTCTATTTCCACTAGGCAGTATATAGGTTGTTGTAAAAAAAAAAACATGACGGAACTTATCACCAAAATACAATAAGGGAATGCGAATGATGCCCCGGGCAGTTCTCGCGAAACACAGAGGGGATTTCTTATATATGTTGCATCTTATATTACACTGTGCTATATATAAAACAAACCCCTAAAAATTACGTTATTGTTCCAGTGCTTGAATATGGTATTACTCTTCACTCTTACTCTATTACTCTTTCTCCAAGAAAGGCATTTCAAATACAAGGAAACGATGAACATGTCATTTTGAATTACGAATACATTTATAGAATGAATTTACTGTGATATTGTAAAATAAAAGTGTTGTTATTAGAAATATTGATGTCCAAAAGTTAAGTTAAATGTGCGTTAATATACACTCAAATAGATAGATGGAATAATAGAATGATATGATTTATCGAATATGTTACACGCGTAGTAGAG